GATGTATTTTTTGAACACTATCATATAGGTATATAATTACTTTTATCATGAATATACCTGTGAATTCAACTCTTAGTTGTCACTATATTTGAGAACATCTTCTTAAAATTTATATTATCCTATCTGCCAAAGCATTTCACGTATATCTTTATGAAATGAGCTAGAGTATTCGAGTGGAAAAACTCTCCTGTCGCTTAAAGAAAAAACTCATGCATTAGAAATAACTCTAGTGTAATACACATAATAGAAAAATTTTACAACTAGCTAACTTGAATATTAATATATAAACATTGTCATTTTTCATTAATTAACACAAATAAGTGATATATTATCATTTAGTAGAGCAAATGAAAGATTAATTTTTTAACAGCAGCTTTAAACTTTTTATTTAAATTTATTTATTTTAAGAAAATCATAGTATTTTGTCGACGTTTCGATATATCAAATATCATTGTCAAGACAGATGGAATTAAATTTCAGAGAGAAAGAGAGAAGTATATATATATATGTATTAAATGAGTCATTAGTAAGAAAAAACCATTGGTTTTTCCATTCTTTCAATAGAAAGTAGGATAACCACCACTATCAGCTGTTGATATAGTTAAATATGCGCATATTTAACTATTCGTCCCGGCTCGTGGTCCATCAAATGTCACTGATTTAATTTTGACTGTTGGTTTGGATACTTGTAAACCTTCAGGGTAAACTATTAAAGGGACAGAACAAGTAGTTCGATTTAAACTAGGTTTTTTGTGAAGAATTTGTAATGATTCACGAACTAATAATCGATATTTTTTACAATCCTTTGAAATGATTTTCCAATCTTTCCAATTGATTGTGTGATTTGTTTTAATATGATGTTTATAAAGGGCTGATTTCATTAGTTGTTGTTCATTTATAATTGGAGATTCATCATCGGAGACTTTTTCATCAAGAAGATAATTTACTTTTGGTTTAGCTCGAAGTCGATCAGATCGTCTTAGCTGTTGATTATCTATTGCTGGAGTGGCTAATTGGGGTGTAGACGATGGTTTAGGTTGTTGTGGTGCACCATGTTCCTGATGTCGTCTCGAAGCCTGCCTTATGGTTTTCCCTACGTAACTTTCATCGCAATCTAAGCATGATATCATGTAGACTATATTAGATTGAGCATCTTTTTTAACTTTATCTTTCTGCGGGAAGAATGTTGATATTGCTGGTGGAGGCCGAGGAATTGGTTGTGTATGAAGATCAGGTCTGATATTCGTAGCTAGATTGATAATCTTTTTTCCCAAAATTTTAGTTTCCTTTCCTATGAATGGTAGATCTATAGGGTGTGGGTGTGGGTGTGGGTGTGGGTGGGGGTGGGTGGGGATAAACACAACATACCACCCATACCGAGACACCCCACACCCACACCCACGCCCACACCCCCACCCAACCCCCGC